CAGAAGTAGTTCTCTCCCGTTCATTATTGAAATCACTGTAATCATGTCATCATCAAAACCACAGTGGCTTTTCCTGGGAACAGAATAAAAAAATATGAAAGAAATGATGAATACTTGAGTACACTGTTCAAAGCTAAAAGTAGATATTGGGCGCAGACGGAGTTACAACAACCTGAACAGCAGGCCAAAAGGCATTTGAATCTTGGAACTCAGCTTTTCAAAGCAAGACTGACGCTAGCAGTCACATTGTCGGAAGACGAAGAAAAGTCCACCTTCAGAGGAAAGCAATGCATAGAGACACCTTGATGTTGATCTTAATGCTGTCGGTTTTCCTGGCCACTCATGCCATATGCAAAGTGCATACCATGAAATGCACACCGACGGATCCCCTTCTTATTCCGCATGAATGGTACTGGCCTAATGAAGTCCTCATTGGTGGGATTGCGTCTCATATCCATTTGATGGAACCCAAAATTGCATTCGAAAGGCATCCTTCTCAGGAGTCATAGGACCTGCCAGCGTAAGGAGCAAATTTGTATTTCACCCATCACCCATGGGTTAATATTGTTTGAAAGAGTTTTAATGTGTATGTTGGCAAAATTCACTGATTCTATAATGGGGAAATTTGCAAAGAATTCCAACATTTGGAGAATTTTATTGATTTCTTCTGCTTGTGCTGAGCAAGAAATAATCCTTTTTTTCCAATACCTGATGGGGAAAAGTTGGGAAGAAATTCCTTCTGATAATGTAGATTGTCGATACGTAGAGTTCCTCAACAATGAGATAAATCAGGACACCAAGATCTTGCCCAACGTCACTCTTGGTTTCCACATCTATGACAGCTATTCTAGTGCAAACCTGGCCTACCGAGTCACTCTGGACCTCCTCTGCAAATCCCAAGCATTTGTTCCCAACTTCAAGTGTGGCCTCCAGAACAATCTCATTGGAGTGATTGGAGGGTTTGATTCTGAAACCTCCTCATATGTGGCAGATATCTTGGGCATTTACAAGATTCCACAGGTAGGACTTGATCTTGGGGGGTTCTCCAGATTTTCTAAATCTCGGGAGTAGTTCTTTGTTCCTTGTTCAATTGCTGGGAGTTTCCTTATTTGAGAGGTAAATGTTATTTACGCAACAAGTGAATAAAGTTGTGGAGTGGTTAGATTTCGTGTCTATTGAGAAAGAACTACTCCTCCAAAGATTATTGTGCAGAGGATGAATACATTGGGAAATAACTATCCAAGGCTGTGGGTATGGGAACTCTTTCACTTCTAACATAGTATTTGCTTTGAACAGAGATCTCTGATTAACCTAACTATAGTAAGATTATATGCTTATTTACTTGAGAGCTAGTATGGGATAGTAGTTTGTGTATTGGGCTACAAAATCTTTAGCAAATGTCATCTGATGGTGACCTTATTATAGGCTGCTAATACTAAAGGTGTTCATTTGGAACCTACCTTGCTCCACCTTCCAATTGGAGAGAATGCTGACA